ATGACTATAGTCTTAGCATTAAGTCTTAGTTTTAGCATTTGCTGGAATTAGTAAAAAAAGGCAACTGAAGCAGTTCAAGTATCATGTAGTTCCAAAGGTCAAAGATTTTCTATGCGACAAAATTCACTTATAGCGTGTGGTAATTTCATTTCTTCGTTCATGAAAACTATCTGAATCTGAATCTTTATTTAACTACGGTAAAATACATCAGTCAATTACAGCTAAAAATCTATAATATAAATGCTAACTAAATACAGATATATAATATACATGCTTTATATACTGCTTTACATGTAGGCCGTGGGAGTCTTTACATTAAGAAAACACATTTTCAATGTTTTTCTTAAATTGTGAGATAGTTTTTGCCTCTCTTACTGATTGCGGAAGGCTATTCCACAGTGAAGAGCAACTATAAAACTATCTTGCAACGCCTAGGAGTTTGAGGACACAGATGAAGAACTCATATAGATATAATTCAACAGATAAACAATTCTTACCAACATGTACAACGCCGCTTCCCGCAATGTCAACAGCGCCAAGCTGTGCCAGCCATCCTCCTTTTGACCACAACCAGTGGGCCGGAAAACTATAGATAAGCATTCCAAGAAACGAAAAAACGCAATACGACTCAAGTTTAGTCCTCTCTGCCATCGCACCAGACACTATAGTTATTGCTGTGGTGGCAAACGATAACTGAAAGAAAAACTTTGAGAAAACGGAGCCCATTTCTGCTTCGTCGGCGTTTGTAAAGAATCGTCCAGCTCCGCAGAAAGGATTGCTTGCTGCAGAATCACCGAAAGCCAATCCATAACCAAATGCCCAGAAGGAAAATCCACCAAAGATTACATCTACGACGTTCTTAACCATTATGTTAACCTAAAAATCAAAGAAMACTTATCTAGATTCTGCACGTATCGCTGTATTCTCTTTTATAAGCTGGATTTACGTTTACCCAGAAAAAGAAAAAATGAAGAAGACTGAGAAGAACAATAACAACAACAACAACGACAAAACAGTACTAAAAAAGGAAAAAAGACAGCGATATGGCAAGGACTCTATTAACAACAAATTTCTTCACCTCATTTTTCCTGGACACCATTCCTGACTCCAAGAGACCAAAACCAGACTGCATGGTAAATATGATGAAGGCACTAGAAAGCACCCAAGTAGCATCATCCCAGCCCGCTACTTCATGTAGTCTGTGCTTTTCTGTAGTTAGCGTTACTGGACCAGATGTAGTGGTGATATTTATGCGGCAAAGCAGACTGGAAGAGATATTTGGCGGACAAACAGACATCTTGAAGGAAAAAGGAAAAAAAATTGTTTTGATATTCTAATTATTCAAATATTAATAAACTTGGTCGGTCATGATACGCACTGGAAGGTGAAAGTGCTGTTGGGAATTCAACTAATGTTTCTGTATATACTAGCCATCGCTAGCAAATAAACATCTGCCTAGCTAGCAACATAACAAACACTTGAAATGGAAATTGGAAAGATTCGCCTTCAGCTACTCACTAAGATAGGATAAAAGTTCGCCTAATACAAGGGGACTAGTTAGTGCTCAGTAAGTGACGTATTCAGCAGTAAAAAGAAAACTGATTTAAAATTAATTTTCAAATTGATTTGTCGATGCGAGATCACGGCACATAATGCTCTACTAGATTTATAATAGACTCCACCGAGTAACTCTTGCTATATATATTTTTATGATCAGCTTTTCATCTTCAGTTATTGAAGATTTATTCTTCAATTTGATAATAAAAATCGTAATCATAATATCAGTCGTATTTTATGAACCAGATTTGAATCATGTTGTACTGACCTTGATATAAAAACAGATTTTAAGGATATTCTTAACGGTTGCTCATCTTGAGATGGCAAGCGATTCCCTCTGACATAGGTCGATAGCTCTGAATGCTATTTTAAGTGTTTCCCCCCCGAGTGATTATTCAGTAGTTTTCCACCACAATAATGACAACACTCTTCGTCAAAGGTGCATTAGCGTWAGTTTCTTTTTCAAGTTCTTTCCTGTTCGAGTTAATTATTCGCTTCACAAATATTTAGCTCATATTTTGAATTCAAAACTCACKGTTCCTTGCTAGCAGAGTCTCAAAAGGATTTTCTGCAAAGAATCGCCAACGAGGGAGATTCTGCTAGCAGGGAAAACTCACTGGTACAAAAACAATAAGGAATAGTGGTAAGATGTTATCATACGGTAGCAGAAGACATGGGRAAAATATAATGGATTTTTTAAACCTTTACTTTTGATTTTCTTGGTTTTTGTTTTTCGTCGTTGTTGTCGTTTTAGGGATTTTTTTWAGGGAGGGGGACGCCCGTCTTTATAAAATGTTCTTTTACTCAAATATTCATATAATTTGATATTGTGCGGCCCGGGTAAATGTCTCCTAACTCAACTAGCATTCTCAATATCAAGTCGGTCTAACACCGACAACTTCAAACTAATACATCAATTTTTATAAGAAATACGAGAATAACTTGAAATACCTTTAAGAGTGTGAAATAATTTCCTTCAATCGCTTCGTAAATGATGCCTACTTTGATTCCAAAGCGACCACTCTTAGGCTCTTGTTATAGAGTCAGTAGGTTCGACTACAAATGAACAATCACCAAAAAAATTATTTATTCGACCATTTGACGTTGGTATAGTCATACTAATATGCTCCTGTCAAATGAACGAAACGTGCTAAGAACCATGAAAGTATAAATAAATGAGGTTCTGCATATCCAAACGAGGCGCTTTATTCACTAAGTGYAAGTGAATTTCCCAAAACTATACCCACGGTTGAGCTTTTTTTCTTTTTTTCTCTTTCTCCGTTGTTAGTTCCTCACTCCCCCTCACTTAATGACGTTTTTTTAGATGAATCGATCGAAAGTGAACTATTTTACCCCATTAGTATTCAGCTTGGAACTCCAATAAAACAGACAGTTTTAACGGACGGCGCGTTGCACCTGCTGCGAGAAAAGCGCGCGCCAAAGAGAAAACRTGGGGTTTTCCCAACCTACAAAAGTCCAAATAGAATTCCTTTTTATCAGGACTTAATCTCCAAAATCACAAACGAAAAATTCTTCTCAACCTGGCACTCTTCGCTCCCTAATTTATTGTTTATTTAAAATTATTTCCGCTATATACTTACACACACACACACATTCTTAATTTTTTCAGATTTCGTTGTTACCATTTTAAGACTCTAAGCATGAGTAACACATCCTGTTTTCGCTATTTTTTATCGATAACAAACTTATTATTTTTAAATATCAACCCACCAAAAAAAAAAATCATTTTCAATATTTATAAAACCATGTATTTTTTTAGAGCACGCTGATGATTTTAAGGTGAAACCTTTCTTTCAAAAAAGCCGGCATTTGGTGTTTTGAATAAATTACCGCCTTAATCTTTTAGCCTGCCTAGCTGTATGGAGTAAAATAAATATTTAACTGATGGCTGATCACATTTGATATCAAGAGAGTTAATTTCTACGTATGAGTCAAAGAATCACTAGGGATCCAGAGTTAATAGAGAGAAATATCACCAGTTAAAGTAATTAAAACACATCAAGTTGGACATTTCACTTTTTTTCGAAATTTTCCTGACTACATTTTCATACCTTAAGGATCCTAAAGCGTGGTTAACACAGTGAGATTAAACATAACCTCCTCTATTCATACCCCATGCAAGGCCTTAACTTACGAGTCGAGGTTGGCAAAACAAGTGTAAATACTAAATGGAGTCTGTAAGGTATTCAAGTGTTTATATCCGGACTAAAAAGCATCATTTTATATTTTCGTCTATTTCACTTTCATTATTGTTTCTTTTATTGATTCAGAAAAGAATGTATGTGCTCAAAAAGAGTACATGCAAATACATGACATCAGTTTTCAATAGCAAAGACTGAGATGCAACGTCAAATGAACCAAATCTGACTGAATCTCTATCAGGGGCGTTTTAAACTTCCCTGATAGAGATTCAGTCTGATTTGGTTCGTTTGAATATTGAGAGAACCGAATGGAAGGTGGTGGTGGAAGTTTATCTTGTTTACCCCAGTTTACCTAGTTTACTTATTATAAGGATAGAAATCATAATCGGAGAAAATGGAAACCTTCCGATTCCGTGAACACACATCTAACTCTGATWACGACTGTCCATTTTCTGACTTTCCGTGGGTCAGCTGCTTACCACTCCGATTCTTGACTGATTTCTTGGGCTCATTTCGGAAATGCATTTTTAAGGGAGGACGTCACGTGAGCTTTTACATTATGCAAATAGTCTCTTGTGATCATATGGTCATGTGCAGAACTTCATAGTTATATGACATCCAAATCATCAGAAAAAAGTGGGAAACTAGTGTTACCTGACCATTTGGAGCTCTCCCAATGATCCGTGTATTATCCGAAAATCAAAACGCGATCGTTCGTTATTTTAGCGGTGATAACAGTTGAGTAATTTCGGTAGTATTTTTATGAGGGAACAAGAGWTTCAGTACTACTCTGCCTTTTTGAGGCTGGGAAAATGGGGTCCTATGCACTGGGAATGAGATATACAAACTAAAAAAAAAACAACCAAAAAATGGGAATGGGATTGACACTTGAACAAAATACAGGCTAGGACTTTGGGATTTGGTCAAATTTGGGCTGGGAATTTGGATTAGGACCCCCCCTCTCTCCCACCATCTTAAGGACCCTATTACATGGATAGTGTCTACACTATATTCTAGAATAAAAACTTGTATAAAAACTTGTACACAAACAATAAAATAAATTATACATTTATTGGCCAAAAAATATTCATAATCATTAAACGTTTTCATTATATATATATCATAATTTGAACTTTGTAACTGTAATATTTAATAAACTGAATTTGTGGGAATAAAATTGTGCGGCATAATAACTCSGTGATCTGTGCACATTTGCAATCTGGTATAATAGGCTCTAATTTAAWCTTCTAAATGTAACGAGATTAACAACCCAACAGAATTATTTTACTAAAGTATACAATAATAGCACATCTCCAATTTAATGTTCTAAGGATTACGTCGGATGTATTTAAATCCATATGTAAAAAGAAATTAATGTGATTATAACCCAACACATTACTTTTACTACTAAAAGAGACGAGAAACTTTCCATTACCAAGAATCCATGTATTCTGATAAATGCCAGTAGCCTGAAGATCTTCCCTCTAGGGTTGCTTAAGGTCCTCATGCTCCTTGTGAAACCTTTTACTAATTAAGAATCCCCTCCCYAACCTAGATTTGTCCCCAAAGTTTTAGTATTTTGTGAAGTTAAAAGCAAAATTTAAATAACAATTAAAGAAGTAGTCAGGTAAAATTTAATGGAATGCATATTATGAGCATGCACAGACATTTTCTCTTGTGTCGTCCCTAGATGCTGTACAAGTTAATCAATACCTAAATCTATATTGCAAACCTAAAAGCTATCTTCTGGGAAAACAAGTAGGACAAAACGTCGATACCAGTTGGTCTTTGATGATCCCTCATTTCCAGAAGGTCCACTACATTTCCCTTCATTGCACTCACCCCAAAACTCATCATCATCTTTACCAACATTCAGAGCAGTTTCACAAATATCTAAATCAATGTGTYGAAGATCCTCCCATTCCTCTCCATCAATACCAATAGCCTTAAATTTGTATTCTGTTTCATAATCATCCTCAAAATCAAAACAATCTCCTGAACCAGAGTATCCACCATACTGGATGGTGCAAAGTCCATACATATAATCCCACCTTTTTGCCTCTATAATCAAGAAATCTAATTTCTTTTCATCCTCAAGCAATGCATTAGCACCTTGCAGAGTTGAATATATAAGCTTGTCACCTCCTTTAAAAGCTTGCACTCCCTTGTGAAGAAAGGACTTTTCTGAGTAGTGATGGTCTAGTGCCCAAGCTATCATACAAGGATCAGGCAAGACTTCATCAATCTGTTCCAGTAAGCCAGCCAGCTTGTTAACTGGGATATCAGGAGGACTAGGAACTACACCATTACCATCCCAGCACAGGGAGTACACTAGTGCCATGCGGTAMCCAGATGTGATCTCAGTCAGTTCATGTTCACAGTCTGCATAGTGGGCAGCATACATGCAGGAGAATTCAGATTCTGGAGTACCAAATGCAATCCTTTTCTCTCTTGCACCATGTTTTATGACCAGATCTCCCCCAGTGAAGATGGAAGGAACTTGAATGATGAGGGTTGCAAACATGCCTGGGTGTTTTTCTGTGTCTCGATGAGGTTTGAAATGACCACCTGGTTCATACAGCAGCAGTTTGTAAAGGTGCGAGGTTACTTTTTGATCTGAGCAGTCAAGTTCACTTTGGATTTCTTTGACAAGTTTTTCAACACCAGCATTAAATTTTGGATTTGTGATTTCAAATTTCTCAGGGTCAAGCTGCCAAGAGTCTCTGACTTTCTTGTCAATCAATGTTTCCTCACCAAGGCCATAGGGTGCCTGATTGAAATGGTTTCTGAGATGTTCCACAGTCATCTCTGTGACAGGCAAACTAACTGTACCATAGCCTGAAATCTTAATACCAGGCAGTACAGGAAGTTCAGCACTTGTATTGCCAACTGCAAACTCAGACGTCTTCTCTTCATGGATTTTTGTGAGTATTTTTAACAAATCCTTTTTTAGCTGCCTTTGTTTATCAATGGTGGTTCTTGTATTTCCTGAATACTGGTAGCGGTTCATTATTACCTAAGAGTAAAGCAATATTTCAATTAATGTCAGTGTTTGAGAAGTGCTCTGCTGTCAAATACAATGTAACATACACTTTCATTATAAAAATATTTTATTAATAAGGTATATGCTCCAGATGAAAAATGGGCGACCAAATTTAATAAGTATTGGCATTCTAAGGTATGAACTGACTAGCCTCTCATACATGAACAAGTGAAAACGTTTTTATGTTTCCACATAAACACTAGGCTATTCCAAAACAAAACAATAGTTATTCAAATTGGTTGCCATATCCATTTGGTGTATATGTTGATGGAAAAGTTGAAACATCTTAGTTTTAAAATATAGGTTTTAAAATTTAAGTACAGCAACAGAACACAATAACTTTTKTAAAAACAAGATTTATGAAAATACACGCACGTGTAGAATAGAAAGCAATGACCTTTCCCCAACCCCGCCCCTAAACCTAACCAATCACAGGCGACGTTGCAAATTCGTGAAGCCCAACTGAAGATTTTCATCGCATTTAATAATTATGTTTTTCTAAGCCATCAATCGGAAAATGGCTTTTCATTCTGTTCTATATGATAGAGAAAAAGACAGAAAAAGAAAAAGACAAACAAAAAGGGAAGCAAATAAGCTGGTACTACATGGAATAAACATTGAACACTTAAATCTATTTCTTTGTCGGTGAACACATTTCTGCTGCAAAAGATATACAATATCCAGTTGACATTAAAATTAACTGCTCAAAAGATGATGCGGGGACTTCACTTTTATTTTCTTCCCTTTGGGGCGGGGCTTTCATTACCTTTCACTGAGGGAAAAAGTGAAGTCTCTGGGTATGCCTCAAGAGGGGAGGGGGGGTGCGGGGATGTCAAATGACTGGTGCATAATAAATTAATGACCCTTCTATTATTTAATAAGTCAACAAGAAAAAACTTTCGTAAAAAGGTTTCACTATCCAAAACAGTTACAATTTTTACTGATGGCCCTATCTCCCCTCTAAACCCCCAGCCCTCTCACCCCAATAAAAACATACCAGCATATAAATAAAGAAATATCTCATGATAGGCTTGTCTTACTACAACTAAACATGATTGTTGGAGTATGACTGTATATCATACGAATATCTAATGRCAAAGGATTGTTAGTCAAGAGTTCTCTTGGTGTAGCAAGCTTTATTGTATACTGGGTTAAGGTTTTGGTTTTGCAGGGTATTGTTTAGTTCCAGATWCATTATCTTTGTCTATTGCTTTGTCTTCATGTCTCAGTTGCCTTGCAACACTAAGTCGAAAGAGCAGATTGTTGGTGATAAAATATGAATGGCTTATCTGACATGTACGTTCGCGAAAGCCAAGCTCGAGTATTCCAAGTTTAGGACTTTTTTCTTTAATGCATTAGAATTATAGTATTTATTATAATAATATAGTGATAAATTAAACATACCTTGGCTTCAAAACGAGTAAACGACGAAAAAATCAACARCAGATACCCAGGGCAGATCCTGACAGCGGCTGTTACAACATGTGCGTTCCCTCGTGACTTCTGGATCGTTCTGATCATGCGCGCTATATTTGGCGCGAAAACCTGTCCACAGGGAGCCCACGTTAGATTAAAATGAAAGAAGGGTATAGTATAATGGGGAAAAAAATAGTCATTTTTGAATTTACGAATCCTATGACAAAGATCTAGKACTCCATAATATAATCGCACTCAGCGCACAGCGTAATCAAGCAAAAATGTAGTTTGAGTACTTTAATCGCATTTCACTTCAYGTCTAATGTGGGCTTCCTGTGATTTTGTCCAAATTGGCCCTTTTTCGGGAGTAAAGTAAAAATAAAGGGGGAGGAGGGTCACTTACGAAGCACTTGCTCTAGCTGTAATTCAAATGCAAGCATGCACATCACATACCAGTTTGCCTAGCCTGCATTGCAGCTGGAAAGGGATTTCTGGCTATTACACACTAGGGAGTCCCCGGCCTTTTATTGAGCAGCAAGAATTCCTTGSCTCTGGGGTCATTGATAGCCAGCACCCATAAATATACCAGTAAAACACAGGTAGCCCAAGCTATTTTTATGGATAGCAAGCAATAAGAATATTAACATTAAAAAAAGTTCAAACTAGATAACACTGCTAAAAATTTGCTCCCAGTGTCATTTCTCTTTGCCATTTTTAAAGCCAACCATACAGAAAACTCAACTCAAAAATGTTTAATCTTTACCAAATTGTCTTCAAATAACAAACCACTGAATAAACTTTAAAAATTCTTTCTCTGWAATAATCTAAACAATATTTTAACAATATTAGAACTTATTATTTACTTGCTGTGATTACTTTCTCTCATGGTCAATCATTGGTTTGATGGTAATGCTGTAGTTTGATTGCTTGTTTTGGAACCCTTATCACTCATCAGTGAGCCAGGGCAGCTAAAGCAAAGTTTCTTTTCTTTCTTATGTGGATATTGATTGCCAGCCACCATGTTACACAATGAGGATCATGAGGAGAGTAATGTAATGTATTGAGAAATCCTCAAAAATTTTAAAGTATGAAACGAGCTTTAAGGTTTTCAGATACGTATATTTTGAAACCAAACATTTTTATGCTTGTAATAAACAAAAACTAAAATGATTACAGGGTTCGTGCTGAGGTAACCACTTAAAATTCAAGGACTATTCAAGGAGTTTACAAGGACCCAAAAATAAATTTTCAAGGAGTATGTTCAGTTAAATATGCCAAGTTTTAATGGTGGTTGCACATGGCCGACTTTCAGATTTTCCAATCTTTCTGACTAGATCTACTTCAGAACCATGCAAGTAATGATCAAAGCAAAAATTCAAGGAGTTTTGCTAAAATCGTAGTATTCAAGAGCTTTTCAAGTACCCTTGAAAACGTGAATTAAATTCAAGGAGTTTTCAAGGAGTTTACGTAGCACGAACCCTGTGATTAACTTATTTCAAATAACTAATTAGAACGATCAGTCAAAACACAACCATGTTCACTAAGTTAAACTTAAGCAGAGTCACTAATGGTCAAAAATAACCATGAGTGTTTACATGTCACGATAAAATAAATCTGATAGATATGTGAAACAAACTCATGCTGTTTAGTAATGTCTATCAGATTAGTGATCTTTTTTTTCTGGGAAGGGGAGGCAGGTGGGGATTTTTTTTGGGGGGGGGGGGAGAAGGTGAGGGGGGTGTCAAAAAAATCAGGTTTAAGATTGCTGGAGCCAAACCAAAGAATTCAAGTGAAAAGAATTCAACCCCCTCCATCCATAAACTATCTTTCATATAGCTTAAATGGAGTCAATCAGAATCAATTCATAAATGTTTTGCACTAATTGATTCTATCTGTGCAAATGCACACAGGGCTTCAAATTAAGTGTTTCCTCCACTTACAAATCAAAGTTAAACAACTGAACTTGTAACAAACAATGTTACATTAACATTACAACAAAGTTCTATTAGCAATTTAAAGGTTTGGAAAAAAGTAGGTCGAGTTGGCATTGCAGTGCATTGTGGGACTGTTTTAGGAGAGGAAATAGACGCCATATCAGAAATATGTTGCTCTGCAATGCCAACTCAGCCCAGGTTTTCCCTCAGCCTCAGAATGTAGTATGATGATAATATATAAAAAGTTGCTTAGTTAACTATTCTCACCAATTTAGTTTGAGTAGAGCTTTCAGTATTTCAGTCTTGATATACATGTATCTTCTTGTTCAGGTCACTGTAATAACATTAGCCATGCTACATGTTAAACATTTGCTAAAATTGACAGTAACAAAAACGTGTTTTATTGTAACAAATGGGTGTTTCTCTTTAAGTTTAGCACCTTGAACTTTGTTTTGCGTATAGCATTTTAAAGTTCTGCATTCTGCTATGCACAGTAAGCCATATCTTATCCCTCTCCAAGCCATGTGCTTGCAAGTGTTTGTACAACAGTGTACTTATAAGACAATAGGTTTTTTTGTGCATTCTCCAGATTCKTGACCAAGTTTAGCTTGTAACCTCTTAAGTTCTTCACAATTTTCAGTGTGTTTTCTTACAGCTTCATCGTGCCCCCTTTTGTCAACTGGTAATTTAGTTATTTCTACTACTGTATCACTGCGACATCCTGTCACCTTAATCAAAGCATTTCCTCTACCCCTGAAGTAATCTCTCTCGAACTTTGTAGCTTGGCCTTTACCAGTGAACCTATGATACACAAAGCTCTTCTCTGGACCTTGCAGGAATGCTTGGACTTCAGGATGACCTGGTATGACTGCTGTTGGCTGACACCAATTCAATTTAGGCTTACCAGTCTGAACAACAGGTAAAAGTTGGTTAATACGTGCTACCATAAGACGCTTGACTGGTTCAGATACATTGGCTGAATGACCCAGACTACTTGCAATTAACTTCTTTAACAATTCTGAATTGGGATTTTGTAGAACACCTTCAACAAGTTTTTCAAGCAGGGTGTTTTCTYGGGTTCTCACCAGCAACTCAGCACCTTTCACAATGGCATCAATCTCCAAAGGTGAGGTTACACTACCACCACAAGATGACTTTTGCAACTGTTCAAAAAACTTGGCCAGCGTCATTTGATAAATTTTGCTCTTTTGCATCTCCTCGCCCATTTTCTTTTCTATCAATGACAGCAAATTAGTCAACATCTGAAGATTCTGGAATTTTGGCACGTCTAGGAATGGCTTTATAAACTGAGAACAGGACATGGGATGATTGAGAATAACACCACCAATTGCCATAAGGCTTTCATCTGTTAGTTTACTTTCAGATTCACCAGAGGTCACAGCTTTTTCAACCATAGATGCAATGAGCTTCTCTTTGGGCACATCATCAGGACATTGTTCCAGGAACATAGTTGCATGTTTGTAATGTTGTGGAGGACATGACTCAATCAAACTTGCCAAAGGCTCACTCAATTTCTGCCAACTGAAATCAGAAATGAGTTCTTTCAATACACTGATCATTTCCACTGATGGGATACCAAAGGCACCTTCCCAACATTGTGAACGCCAAGAAGCCATAGACCCTGATGACTGCCAGTAAGTGACAAGTGGCTCAGATAGCAAAGGGAGAATCCTCTTTGCAAAATCCAACTCTTTCATCCTCAAAATCAGCCTCAACATTGTAACTACATTATTTTCAAATGATAAACAAAAGCTCTGCTTTTGTTGCACACAAAGTTCAACAACGTCACTGGCTAGTTTTCTGACCGATGATGATGATGCATCTTTGTTATCTAGTTGCTGTGCTAGATAATTTATTGCAGACTTTAAACCATTCTTGTATACTACCTTGATGGCATTCTCTTTTGGGAAAATAACAAGGACGTAACGTTGATACCAGTTGGTCTTTGATGCACCTTCATTTCCAGAAGGTCCACTACATTCCCCTTCATTACACTCACCCCAAAACWTATCATCATCTTCACCAACATTCAGAATATCTTCACTAACATCCAAATGAAATCCTGCACCATCCCATTCCTTTCCATCAGTACCAATAACTTTGAACTCATATTCTGTTTCACAACCATCATTTTCAAAACMATCTGAGCCATAACTAAGGCTTCGATAACCTGCATATTCTAAGGTACAAGTTCCATACATATTATCCAACTTTGTCGCCTCTACAATGAAAAAATCGAATTTCTTTTCATCCTCAAGCAATGCATTAGCCCCTTGAAGAGTTGAATATATAAGCTTGTCACTTCCTTTAAGAGATCTGACTCCCTTGTGAAGAAAGGACTTTTCTGAGTAGTGATGATCTAGTSCCCAAGCTATCATAGATGGATCAGGCAAGACTTGATCAAGCTGTTTCAGTAAGCCAGCCAGCTTGTTAACTGGGATATCAGGAGGACTAGGAACTACACCATTACCATCCCA